CGTAGTGATTGACTGTCATTAGTCTGACATCGTAGTGAGCGACTGTCATTAGTTTGACATCACAGTGAGGGACTGTCATTAGTTTGACATCGTAGTGAGCGACTGTCATTAGTTTGACATCACAGTGAGCGACTGTCATTAGTTTGACATCGTAGTGAGCGACTGTTATTAGTTTGACGTCGTAATGAGCGACTGTCATTAGTTTGACGTCGCAGTGAGCGACTGTCATTAGTTTGACGTCGCAGTGAGCGACTGTCATTAGTTTGACGTCGTAGTGAGCGACTGTCATTAGTTTGACGTCGTAGTGAGCAACTGTCATTAGTTTGACGTCGTAGTGATTGACTGTCATTAGTTTGACGTCGTAGTGATTGACTGTCATTAGTTTGACGTCGTAGTGATTGACTGTCATTAGTTTGACGTCGTAGTGATTGACTGTCATTAGTTTGACACTCAGTGATTGACTGTCATTAGTTTGACACTCAGTGATTGACTGTCATTAGTTTGACATCGCAGTGATTGACTGTCATTAGTTTGACATCGCAGTGATTGACTGTCATTAGTTTGACATCGCAGTGATTGACTGTCATTAGTTTGACATCGTAGTGATTGACTGTCATACAACTACTACACTTATATCATCATAAAATAGATAACACTTCAACCATACAACTACTACAACTACTATCTTAGAATAGATAACACTTCAACCATACAACTACTATCTTAGAATAGATAACACTCCAACCATACAACTACTACAACTACTATCTTGGAATAGATAACACTCCAACCATACAACTACTACACTGATATTATCATACAATAGATAACACTCCAACCATACAACTACTACACTGTTATCATCATATAATAGATAACACTTCAACCATACAACTACTATCTTAGAATAGATAACACTCCAACCATACAACTACTACACTGATATTATCATACAATAGATAACACTCCAACCATACAACTACAAAATGTACTACACTGATATCATCATACAATAGATAACACTCCAA